ATATAAAGTTGGAGATTAAATTATTTCGGGGCGTAAAATGTTCAATACCGCATTTCAATATAGCTTCAGAAGACAATTAAAATATCTCATTGTTAATTAAGAATTGGCATAAATGTTTATATACACTCAGATTCGTCTTAATTTTTTTAGTTTTTCATTTATCACAACTTGGTATTTAGCACTTTGTGGATTATCGGTTAATTCGTGCGCCCAAAATCGTGGACAATAAATTGCATCCATATATAATACGGGCACGCGCACATACACAAACATCCTTTTTTCAAAGTATGCCAAAATGTTCAAAAACCACAAAGCGTAAAGATATGCAAAATTCCTTTTCGATGATAGGTGAGCTGGACCAATAAAATTTAGGAAATATTAAAAATTCTCTTCAATCTCAAAAATTCTTATATTTTATATATTGTTTTATTAATATTATTATGGCTAGGCGCATATTATTCCAAACACACTATTTATATTGGCCTCTAGCTGTTTTTTGTATAGCAGAATAAATGTGAGAATAGTTAAAGGTTCAACTATAGTTTCTAAAAATGAATCAATTATGTCATAAATGTTTGACAAGTAACAGAGACGTTAGATTTATCCCAAAATTTTTTAACACTTCAGTCAAGAATTCAAGTATACTCATTAAATGTTTTGAGAGCTGGTGCAGAAAAATCCAGTGCGTCTAAGATAATTCAATTCTAACAAATAGTTTTAAACAAATAAATTGTATTTGTTTATAATATTTAATTTTATTAGTACAATAAAACTGCGAAAATCTCTATTTAATAACAAATTAACATAAAATTAATATAATTTTATGTATATAAAAGACATCACTTCAGAGTCGAATGTTGACAAAATTTACTCATTTGCCTCAATGCCAAAATTGTACTGGCTGTTCTTTTGAAAGGCTAGTTTATAATGGAATAATGGAATGACACAAAATTTTATTTAACTTTGACCAAAAATAAAACTTTATAACAAAGAACTACTCAAATAACTGAAAGTAAAACAATATTTTTTAAAGCTAATGGAAAAAGGATTATTCCTTATATTTTGTAACTTTTGTATCAATAAAATTCAATAAATACTGGTTATTAATCAATTAACTAAGTAATTTATTGGAAAAGAGCACATTTTTTATTTTGGTTTTATCAAATTCATTTTTATATTATTTAGATTCAGCACTTATTACGAATTATAGCTGTATTGATAGAATTTCTAGGAAATATTTAGTTTGCAGAACTATTAATTTATAGCACTTGAAGAATTATGGCTTAAGTTTTTATTCTATAAAGAAATCGTAAAACGAATCTTCTAAAATGTCAAGACCAGTCGTATATATAAAAAGATTCGCGTCTAGGTTTTACTGAAGAAATTATTTTGCAAAGTTAAAAAGCTACAATCAAATATAGATTATTTTTTCAACCATACTAAAACAAATTAAGACTATGATGATAAAATAATAATTTTCATTCAAACTATAATAATAGCATATATTTTTCTTTTAATATAGCATATATTTTTATTTATTTATTTATTATTAAAAAAAAAGATTCTCTTACTTGTGTATCTACTGAAGTCATAGTTAAAAAACTAACAAATAAACGTAAACTTTATTCTTGAATATTTTTATAATCACTTTATTTATCACTTTCACCATGATACTCATGATTATTAATAGAAAACTAATACAATGAAGTCAGTGAAAACTTCTGGAACAACAAAAATATTGCTTAATTTTATTCTAAAGTAAAATTTCTGTATCCTATTAAATGTGAAAATTTAGACTATGGGCGGCAGTATTATATTTTGCACAAAAATAAATTAAAGCAAACAATAAAAAAACTAAAGAAGACGTCACATTAGGTTGCAACCTTTATAATTTGATATTGTAATAAAAGTTCAAATATTAAGATGATTTCTCGTATATAATTATAATTTAATTGGTAGGAATAGACCAAGTTACTTATACTACTAGCATAAATACGTTCATCGTAGCCGTAGCCAGAAGGCAAAGAGAATTAAACCAGCTATGCTTTTCCCTGAACAAGACAACATGCAGAAATGCCTCACAATAAATCATTCGTTGAACAACGCAAGAGTATTTTCAGCGCACGCTCGCTATCTTAATTAATGCCACGTACATAATTGTTTTATTACACGTAAATTATTTTGTCGGGTCTTCAAAATGTTATCATTTAATTAATGACGCATTGAAAACGACTAAACGCTTGATGGCTTTCGGGGCGGCTCCACCGCCCGGCTCAGACTGATCTGGAAAAGACCGAGTCTTTTCTTGTTTCTTGTCGAATGCAAAACTTTGTAAACGAAATTTTAAGCAAAGTCATGAAGAGGTTCCGATGTGTATTCTAATATCATTTTGATGGATAAGGGTTGTGCGGAAATTCATTCAGTGAGACATTCAATTCATTGCAACAAATTTGCTGATTGTATCTCAATCCAATTCAGCAAAATGATGTTGGGCTTGTAACAAAATGAAGATTACTACTTCTCGGATGTTTTCAAAACGTAATCCTAAAAATCAATTCAATTATATCAAATGTTACTGATACAATATTCAAATTCTCAAAGATGGAAATAAATTCAAGATTTTAATTATGTAGATCGTTTTACCATTAACAGCCTGTGTGTAAATTACTGATGCGCCAAAAACCAGTAATTAATTTTAAACGTGTGTTCGATTTTATAGAAAAAAATGAAATAAAATGTATTAGACTCCATAATTTCGGAAGCTGGTATTCTTAGTAACAGGTTGCAATATATCTAGCTAGAAATATAATTGCAAGTCACAAAGGTTTATTTGTAATTAAATATAATTACATAATTAATAGTTAATTATATTTAAAAAAAATGTAACTATAATTATAATTAATTGGGTTGGAATAACATATATAGAACATATTTGTTGATACAACAGAAAAAAAATATACGGTCAGTTTAGGAATACTATTTTATTCAAGTCTATGTAACACCCATGAAGTGATAACATTAAATAGTTTGTCAATTTTCTTGATATTCTTTAAAAAAATTATTTATTAGAAGCAATAATTTCTCCAGTAGTTTTCTATTTGTAAGTGAAAGTGAAAAATATTTTTCAAAAACTATTTATTATGACAAAAATAAGTAACGGCGTCAAATTGAACTACCACCTATGTTACAAGTATCGTCTATAGACGACATCCGCAAGACGTGCTGGGTGTTTAGATGTCGTCCATAGACAACATGTTCTACGTCTTTGCTTCAATATTTATCAATGAGTTGAACTATTGGGGTTTCTAATTTTTAATTCAAGTTTAGTTTATTAGAAGCGTAATAATGTAAAAAATACTTTCATATTCTATGTCACTATGGCTGATCTTTTCAGTTGCAGTACCAATAGATGCATTCCACAATACCATCTAAAATATTACCATATAACCTTATTCTCCGCCATACAATAAAAGAATATGGAGATATTTGTTAAAATTCTATTTAAATATGAAGAAAGTGTTGACTCATAATACTAAAACCGCAATTATACGACCGTTTTACTACATAATAACTTCGTGTGCATAGAATAGCGGATTTTCATTAATGTCTGGATTCTAGTATTTAGTGGTTTTTCATGTGAAATAATTTTGCCCGGTTTCCATCGTTTAACTGCTACCATGGAAATAGTGTTTTAATGTAAAAGATAAAGCGTATAGAAGCAGAGCAATATTTTTATAGAAATTTTCCCGGAACAGATTTGTTTTCTGGATAAATGAAACGATTGAATTTCGGTCTAAATTCAATTACAAATCGCAATTTAAAATTTTCACTTTCAAACTTTATTTCCGAGTTTAATTAATTTCACTTTTGATTGAATTGATATAAATGAAGTGTTAGAAAACAAAATCTACTTGCAATATATTACATTCCTTATTTATGTAAAGACCTCTTTTTTAATTGCAATTTTTAATAAGAGAAATAAGCGTTTTCTTGTAAACTCAACAAGATATATTCAAAAATCTTATTTAAATAGTGAACGATTTTTTAACTTCCCGTAGGGCAAGTTATAGTAATCGCAAAAAAATCGAAAATGAAAATTTTATATATCTTTACGTTTCAGAGGTTTCTGAACATTTTGGCATACCTTAGAAAAAATTGATGTATGTGTGTGTGTGTGTGTGTGTGTGTGTGTATGTGTGTGTGTATGTATGTATGTATGTATGTGTGTGTATGTATGTGCGGATACAAATTTTCGTCGACGATTTCGGGAACACGGATCAACCGATTTGAATAATTCAAAAAACATTCGATCCGTATTGATAAGGAGACGTGCTGATTAGTTTTTGGCAAAGGCAGGTCAAGCCGTTCCGAAGATACGGGGCAAAAAGTTCCGAAAACGGTAACTCAGTTTTTAAGAGAACGGAGCGTCCGATTTTAATAATTCAAAAACATTTCATTTGTATTGACAAGATGAAGAATCGATACAACTTTCATGAAGGTAGGTCCAGCGGTTTCGGAGATATAGAGGAAAAAGTAAAAAAATGAGCCATTTGGCGGTCAAAAATGATCATTAGACATATGCACATCAAATTATCAGACATTTTATAGAGATTTTAACAATAAGTATACATTTTGTTAACATTCCTATCGGTTCCGTACCAATGCTTATGCGTAAGACAGCGACGCGGCGCTTACGCGCTTTATATTTTGTCCCTATGTAGTTAAAGCAGTACGATTGCTTTGAAAAAAAAGTTCAGATCTTCCACAATATGTCAAAATAAAGAAAAAAAATTTTTTCAAAAAAAACAAATTTTTTAAAAAAAAAAATTTTTAAAAAAAAAATTTTTTTCATTTCAAATTGCCATCTGAGGCCATACAAAAGTGTTATAAATCATAACACTACACACACACATACACATATATATATATATATATATATATATATATATATATATATAAATGTATTTAATAAATAAATTACTATATCTAGTTGACAGTACCTGAAAGCCATGACGAATTAAACTCCCGCGGCCTGAGCGCTCTTCCTAGGACGTCTTCTAAAACTAATTTCCGACCCTTATTTCTAGCGGATTCATCTTCCGGCGATAAAAGAAATATCGAAAACACTATCAGCCCCAACACCGCCACTATGACCAGCACTGCTATAAGAATTCCGCGCCAATTGCGCTGGTTCGGAGTTGACAACACTAATTCCTGCAATTAAAAAAATAAATAAAAATTAGCAATAAAATCTTTATGATAAGTTATGAAACACTGACACACAAGATATTACACATGACAGTCATGACACTAAGTATAATAGGTATAACATGATTTAAATAAAGCTATATTTAATATGTGTCTATTTAATATAATGCGTGTCAACATTTTCTAATAATTCAATGGCATATCACAGCAACTCAAACATGTCTTACTATTACTTATTCCTCACCATTTTTTATGAATTTTTAAAACGAACAAACATGTAAAATTTGCCTGGTTAAATATGTAAAATGCACTCAAAATTAATGTCACTAAGTTAAATTATTTCATAATTAAATTATTATTATTATTAAATTAAATTAATATTTTGAATTATTGATGTTATGTAAACAAAAGTTTAAATTTGAACGATCAATTACAGGTAACCCTAGTAGATGCACTACTGAGTGTGTTTACTAATATGTAATCAATATTATTACGTCATATTTTGTTAGCAATCTCTGCTCGATGTTTTTAGAATAAACAGATGCAGAATAAAGTTTAAAAAAATCAGCAAAGTATTTACCAGAAGCGTTAATTACTCAAAATCTTAATATTGTCATTAGTAAATAAAATTTATTGTGCACCAAATAATTCACAATTAATCTTAGTATAATAAGATAACTTATTGAAAATTATTAGATCATTCAAATTATTAATCACAAAAGCTATATTTTGTTAGGTACATTAATTTGAATAATATAATTACATAATATCCGATAGTTTTCACTCATGTATAATATTTAATATTATGATAAAAAATGCAATAACTAATCATTTCCAATTATTTTGTATAATTGGATAATAATTGACACTAGTTATTACTAAACAGTATCTAATTACTATTTGGAATAAAACAAATTTGTATATTATTGCTACTTATATGCATGTTGTTGAAATTTTAATGCATTGGCTGTAAAAGTCATGGAATAAAATATCATTGTATGTATTAATATACAAGGTCATGTTTATAATGAACTATTTCAAGTCCAGATATTATTTAACACTTTGGGGACGGCTGTCCACCAGAGTGGACAAACAAACTCTATGAGTCACAGGCTATTTTATAAACAATGACTCAGTTTGCATAGAAAAAAGTTGAATAAAATACATATAGCAGTGATAAACAGTGTTGTATTTTGAAAATAATTTTAAGTTATTTTAGTAGTATTTTTAGCTTTTTTCTTTGCTATATGGTCTTATTTTAATATTTAAAACGACCGAGCGCTTTTAAATATGGCAAAACGACTGGTAATTGTAACTGGTAACTGGTAACTGGTAATTTTGTGAATTAAGCAGTAGTGAAGATGAATTGCAAATAGACATTCATACAGACAAATTTTACTATTCATACCGATGATAGTGATGAATGTGATGATGATATTATCCAACTAAAAAAAGAAAAAGTTTGACTAAATAAATTAAGAGCGGGAAGACATTAGCGAATGTGCCGATTCTCCTTCAATAATCGAATGTGACATACATCAACAAACACTCCGACTATAAATACCAAGCAATATAAGACATCCAATAGATTATTTTACTTTATATTTTACAAATAAATTGTTAGATAATATAATAGAAAAAAACTATTATGGCAGCACAAAAATGAACAAATATACTGACTAATTAGTGGCATATTCTAAATGCGAGAGAAAGAAAAAGGGATTGTATTGTCTGTTATGACAGAAAAGCACTAGGATGAAGGCGGTGAACAATATTTTATTGTAAAACATGTCAAAATCAACCAACTATGCATTTTGGAAATTGTTTTGAACGTCACCATTTTTTTATGAAATGATCAAAAATAAATGCATGTCCTTCAATGACCACAAATTTATATCAAACAAATTGCATAACATACACAATGAAATCAAGTTTACAGCCGGTAAACAAGTTTATTTTGAAATCGGTGCCGTCCCGAAAGTGTTAAGTATCATATGCATATACCAAATACCATCCAGAATTCATATTATTAAAATTATTATTAATTCATATACTTGTTTAAAAATTCATTTAGTTCTAATCACTAAAACGAAACATTTAAAACTTAAAAAAAACTAGTCAAAATCTACTACAATTTCAGAAACCCAATCATTAGAATATATTGTTTGACATTTGATGCATTTAATCCCACAAACGGGTTTTCAAATGACTAAACTATATTTTTAAATAAATAATTCACTAAAATAAATGTTTATCACGCAACTCTCAAGCCCCAATTTTGGTATCTTCTGGCCAAGATTTATTTCTACTGGGATTAATTCCGGCAAACTGTTCCAAACATAGTTCTAAATACTGAATACAACTACATAACCAAATATAAACTGATTTATTTTGTTAATATATATCAAGGTTACGTTACCTAATCGTAAGTTTAATCCGTATGTTAAATTGTATTTCACAATGTTTTTCTTTAAATTTTGCATAACAAACAATTAGGTCCGACGTGTTTACTCCTCTATAGCTGGTAATGGAAAAGGGTTTCAGGTGCTCGATGTCGATCTTTTATTCCAATGTCTGGGCGATTGTTATTGGTGGATATTAGAGAAGGACAATTATAGTAACACTTGCTAATTCAGGTGCTGTCAAAACCTCCAAAAATTGGTTAAGACTGTCTTTCTCAGAAGTGTGGTCTAGTGGTTAAGTGGTCAACTCGCGGATACAGAGGTACTTGGATCGAGTCCCAGTAAAGTACTCGTTTGAGCTAATAATTTTATATGAAGTCAAATAAATTGAGTTTTGCTGTAAAAATTGTTCTTCAATAGATATATTTAAAGAGTGAAGAAAAAATTATTAGAAATTGTAGGTGTCCAATTGTCCTTGTTTACAAAGCCGAAAAATATCAGTTTTTCATAAATTAATTTTAATTGTATTTTTGAGCAACAATCCGTAAATAAAATTAAAACCAAGCTATAATGACTAGAAGGAAGCCAATATGGTGAAAATAAGATTTTTTTTACCAACATATGAGCAACCCACTTACAGATAATAATAATAAAATTGATTTCTGAATTAAAAAAGAAGCGTTTTTACAGACATGTGCTAACAGATTCAACGAATGGATAACTAACAAATAACAAGGATATTTTATATTGGATTAAATTGCTAAGAAATTATAGGTTGAAAAGTGAAATGTTATATTGGCGTTAATGACTTAGGATTTATAGCTAAGCTGCATTAATCCTTAGACGTAATGTTCAATCTAGCCCCTGCGTAAGCATTTTCCTAATGGTTCCCAAAAGAACATATCTTGAATAAATTCTTAATGTGCAATTTTGCAAAACCTGGCCATTAGATTGCAATTATTTAATTCAGAAGCAAGACAATTTTGAACAACCAGCATAAAAATAAAGACATGCATGTATAAAGAACATTATTAATTGAATTTAGTACCGAAAAAGTTAGGCGGTGAAATTCGTTACTGTCCATTTAATTAAAAAAACGTAACGCTAGTTTCATTAGGATAACTTAACTCAACAATTTTAATTAATTGTAAATTTTCACAAACTGGAATACTCAGAAGTGTGCAAAACTGAAAAATTGTCTTTTGACATTTGTAAGACGAAAGCAATGTGATAAAAATAGTGCAAGTACACCACGATAAATATTTAATCGTAAATTAGAAATGAAATTAAAACAATTATATTTATATAAATGTAATAGAATAGAGCGGGGCTTAAAGGTCCGCGGGTAAAAATGTCCACCACCAATATTTTTAACAACAATATTAGAAAGTAGAGGGCAAAATCCAACTATCGCCTTGAATCAAACATCGTCGCCGTCATGGGATAAACAGCTGTGTTTGAAAATCTGTAACAAAAGTATTATCTTCTGTTGTTATTTTTTTGGTTGTGAGCACTGTTGTTTAGTTTACGTGACCTTGTTAGTATAATATCTAAGTACATTATTTGATTATTTTATAGGCTGTATTGTTATTCTTAAGTTTGATTCAACAGTTTTTCTATATAACCTCCATGAAAGCTTACACGTGATTGGGGCGGAAAAAACCATCCGTACCTTTACACTTGCTGTCTGTCAACAATAAGAAAATAGTAAATAAAAAAGTTAATTAAGTTAATAAAAGCAATTTAAAAAAAGGTATATTTTCCAACACTGCTGATGAATATTTCTAACGCAAAACCAAATGGATATTATATAATATAGTGTATCTTCGTAAAAATGTGCCCATAAAATTTATATTTTGCATTAGTTGAATAATGTACCTAAAATTTCGTAAAATCCATTTACATTCAAAATTGAGATATTAGATCTTTTAGCCTCCTGGATATCCCTTTTTAACCATTATGATGCAAAAAGGGATAGATGACAAATTTTAGAAAAATAGTAAAAAACACATTTCTATAATATAAGAATCAACTGGGTAATTCATTGAACTAGTTCGATAGTTTAATACGTATTACTAAGTTCATTTGGTTTAGACAGAATAACTACTTAAAGTCAAATTGGACCTTTGTGCTCTGCCTTGCCCTATATAGTTTACACGAATGAATTTTCATTATCACACAAGAAATTTAATTTAAATAGTTATTCAATTAACTTTTTTAATATTATAACATGAATATTCAGTGATTCCTGCTTAATTTTATATAAAGTAGAATCCAAATATAACGTAATTTATAATCACTGCAGCTTTTGAGATTTATATGAATTAATCCAGAAATTACGAAACCATATTCCATATTTGCTTTCGACTAAATTAAGTTGATACAAAATGTAACTTGAATTACACATATATTATGAAACCCTGCAAGTTGGGCAAATAAAGTTATGCAACGGCAGCTTAACACAATTGTTCTGCTAAATTCATACATGAATGATTCTCAGCTACGTTTTGTGTGTGTTCAATCTGAGAAGCTTCGCAATCAAGAAATTGTAATGAACAATCCTAGCAAACATTTCCTCGAATACATTAAAATATATTAAAAAACATATGGATTGATAAATTTTGATATGTCACTATTTAAAGACCAATTTAAAATTGTTATTAATATTATTAATATAGCGGTAAAAAGTATTTCAGTTTAATTTTTAGTTTTAGTTTAAAAGCTTTTTAAAATTGTCTTAGGAGCTCCAAAATATGTTTCCAACTGGTTGATTCATGCCGACACGAAGACACCTACCATAAATGAAGTAATAACAAAAACAGCACACAAGTATAGAAACAAGCTAATCAGTCACCCAAATTCATTAGAAAACTCATCGATAACAGAGAACTATCCAAGAAGATTGAAAAGAAAAGCGCCACTGGATTTAAGTCATCAACTCTCCTGATAAAAAATGGAAATAACTTAATCATTAATCATAAGAAATTATTCCACAAGTAAATAGTTAAAATTATATAATTATCAATAAAATATTGTGAATTTTTTATCGAATGGAAAAACAACTACTGAGTTGTTTTTTCCAACATGCCCTTGTAATATACAATGTCCCTTTTCGGCCGACTATTGTAAATTCATCAAATTTATTGAATTCCTTTACAGGACAGTTGTAAATAAAAGAGATAATAAAAAAATAATAAAAAAACTAATGACTTTAAATTGTTTAAATTTCAATTTTGTTAGTATTTTTAAAACAATGTACTTGTCTGTAAAAAAATGTGTGACAAGTACAAATAAATAAATGAAATATCCACATTCAATTTCGTGAGTACAATCTATTTCCTTCATACTTTGCCATTATTTATCAAACAACGTTATAGTAACAAATTTGATTAGTCGACACCGTCGACTATAATGTGCACTTTGCACTAAATTGCAGGGTAGAAAATCGCTTAACTCCGAAAGTGCAAAGTTTCTGCGCTTCGGCGCTCACCTGAGCTGCAATTAACACATTATCTGCGGTGACAATAAAGCGATTGAGAGATAACCGTGTTTTAAAATTATACGCTGTTAATTCATATTGCAAAGACATTTTAGATATATTAATAAGTATTTAAGCAATAAAAAATATTCAAGACACAATGTCTTTCAAAACCTTTCTAATAGTTACTACTTTCGAATACATAATTTTAAAAATACTTTCAAATACATAATTTTAAATTACAACGGTGCCTCCAAACAATTACCTGTAACTTCATGTTTTATAAAGAATATGAAAGAAAGCAGTAGTAGAGATAGCAATGTAATGGGTAGTTGTTAAATTTTTAAAAACTACACTTAATATTTAAAACTTCTATGAAAAATGTGACAGAATGGAACGTGTTCATCAAAATCTTACTTTTTACCAATATTCATATTCTATTTTTTGGTGATTTTAGTACCCTATCCTAGGAAGTTTCTTCTCTTTTCAAGCTATTCAATAGTACCTTTGAGAGTTTATCTAACAGCAATCATAACTGTTGGGTCTAGTTCAGATTCTAACAGAAGACATTATTTGTTTACTATACTGAGATATAGTTTATATTAATTTTTAAATGCCAAGCAAACACACGATTGCCTTACTAATTGTTGCAGCCGTGCCCCGAAAAGAAGATTTTTACTTGAGATTCTATTTCCATAAATTCGAGTGGAAATTTAATATCACACTACTGGATATCGAGCTGGATCGAAGTTAGGAGCGAACTCAAATATGTGCTTGCTCACGTCCTTAATCGTTTAAGCCATGATGGTATCAACATGTGATTTGTATTAAATAAAAAAATAGAAAAAGAAATATGTAGTATGATAATGTGATTCATGTTTAGTATGACATAATATAAATATATGATTTATTAGCATTTTATTGTCTACCCAATTGCACACCGATATACGACCTAATGCGAGTTAATAAACATTAACTCGAATCAGGGAAGAATAGTATTGGGGATTGATCTATATTTTCAAATGAAAATGGACATCGCTAGTGCACGATGTTGGGTTATCCAGAACGGGGTTCAAACTCACGACTCACAAAAAATAACGGATATTTATTGACAATAATATATCATATGCTGATGATCAAATTTATATTTTACATATAATTTTGCAAAGTAAATTTTTCATCAATATATTTAATGATTGCACTAATGAAACTATATCACTGCCCGATTGTACTATAAAAAGTTTGTAAATAGTCTATCGCCTTGTAGTTTGGGTCGTGCGCCGTTACAAAGAGGTTAATCGCGCTTAATAAACACTTACAGTGTTTTGAGTAAATTAGGCGGGAGCTTGGAACGAGCTTTAGGCCGCCGAAGTTCGGCAAGCGGGTAGCAGCTGCAGCCAAGGGGTTAATGACTGACGCGAGCCCCGGCAATCCCCGTTGATTGTTAGTGGATTCATAAATCGCTTCCCTAAATCGTCGGACGGGATTAAGGTGACTGAGGTAAGGGAGCGAGGTAGGACAATTCTCATTCGTAATTCACAAATTATTTAATTGCTATTTGTCTTATTGGGAGAAGCATAAAAATTCTAGTAGATTTGAAATTTACTAGATGTTATAGATACTAATACAACATTTTTATAGAAAATTGCAATAAACAAGCTGAATTCTATCTCAGCATCCAAGAGATTGTTCGTATTCAATATAAGCAATGAGTATCAGACAGTGCATGGATAAACATCAAACATGCCATCGACAGCCAGCGGTAAAGAGACCACGGTAGCAGATATTTTGGGTATACGTGTAAAATAATTGTATTCAAAATTATTAACTTCCCGTATGGTAGTTATAGTAATGGGCCGAAAATCGAAAATGAATTTTTTTGCATATCTTCAACTTTTGAAGATTTCGTGTGTTTTGTAGGTCCGCATTTTTTCGGGCGCACATATTCAATTCCTATTGATAGGGAGAAATGCTGATTAGTTTTTAGCAAAGGCAGGTCCATTACGGAGATACGGAGCAAAGAGTGCAGAAATCGATTTGAGAGAACCGAGTGTCCGACTGATGAATCATCTTAAAAACATTCAATTTGTAATGATTGGGAGAAGAGGTGATTGATTTTTGGCAAAGGCAGGTTCAGTCATGTCGAAGATACAGAGTTAAATATGCAATAAATGGCAGTTTTTTGCGAGAACTAAGCGTCCGATTTGAATGATTCAATAAACTTTTAGTTTCTATTTTTTTTTTAAATTTTTTTTTAAATTTTTTTTTTTGTATATCGAAAATTCTGTTCTATTATACTTTAACAAATAATTTCAACTTGGCAATTCAGTTTATAAAATTCTTACAAATATTAGACAATGTTACAATATTTAAAAAATTTATTTGAAAATATTTAATATTTCTCGAATATTTCGTTACGGTATGGGAAGTTCCAGCTACTTGCTTTAAGGCACGATGCCATGCACCAGTAGTTTGAATTTTTATTTGAATATAATAAAATAAGATTACAAGAAATCATTATCAATTTTATGAAAATCTCAAGTATTCAATCATTATCCGTGCATGAAAACGAGCTTTTTGCAGGGTGTTTTTCTTTGAATTATTAGTAACAATAGTCGGATCTCTATATTTGCTGTATTAGCTTAATATTGTTCTAGAAAAATATTTGTATCTTCAAAGCAGTATAATGGAATGTTTCATACTTAATGGCCATATTTTTTTCCAAAGTATCTAAATATATTAGAGCTGTATATATACAACTCTAATTAGCAACCAGGTCTTTGTTCCTGCAGCATAAAAACATACTCTGTTTCTTTGTTGTCTATGCATAAATATTATATAATTAATAGTAGATGCCACAAAGTCGCAGTTTTCAACATATTTTTATTATGTATCTAATTTTATTGATTTTTGAAAAATAATAATAATTAATTAATTATTGATTGTTGACTTTCTTCTTTACAAAATTTACTGCAATTATACCAATTCATTGTTGTATAATCTATTATTACAAGAATCAAACGTGTGTCTGAATAATGGGTATTATTATGCAATACTCATTGTTATATCGTTTATTAGTTTATTTTATTTTGCAACAAATTATATAATTGCTTAAAAGTTAAGATTTAAATAGGAAAAGTGCAAATGATTTTGCAATTCTTTTAACTATTCAATTTTACAACGTGTAGCAAAGCTATGCAACTACATACGTAATAGTTTCAATAGGTATATAAATACACAATAAACATTTTTAATATGGTACAATTTACACAAGTAATTTTTATGATCAATTCCAGAAGTGAACAGTAGATACCAACTCTACGTCTAGTTTGAAAATATGAGAATTGAAACCCAAAAGTTTTTATGAGTTTTTGAGTATTCAGAGCTTTTACTCAAATAATGCGGGCACCACGCAAAATATGGATCTTAGGGCTTTTCGGTGCTTAAAATTTTAATGATTTCAGAGCTTCAACTCTAAAGAATTCTAAAATCAGACTTTAATCATTTTGAATTTAAGTGTCAAAATTTAGCTATTAAATGAATTAATTTTATTCATTAAATAGATAATTTTATGACAAATAAAATAAACTCAAGTGTAAATGTTCTTCTGTAAAGCGTAATATCAACGATAAAATTATGTTATTACTAATAAAGTAAAACCCTCGATATCGTTAAGCAGAATATGATTAAATATTTAATTAAATATTAAACATTTTGAACTCTGTGTTATAAAATAATAAAAATGCACACCAAATAATCATAAATAATCAAATTAAATTCTGTTCATAATATGTATATATTGTGGGTAAAAATATGCTCCATATTTATTCAATCACATATATAATTAAATATATGTACTGTTTGCGCAGTTTCTCAGTTGAATAACATCATTGAAACAAGTTTATCTGAATAGCTTCTATCTATTTGAACTGCGTATAATAATTATTATTCTAGCTTTCATACTGTTTGTTATTGAAGATGAACAAACAATGGTCTCAGATTATAGTGAATACTAAATTTCGCATATGATCAATTTCTAAGGCAGACAACGAGATAGCATAGCATAATATAAACTTTGCCTTTGTGATATAAGATTAAGCCATAACCAAATTATCTTGGAGCATAATTGAAGTATATAAATAAATTTGTATTGTATTAACTTTAGATTTTTTAGCAATTGTATTAGATTTAGATTTTTTAGCAATCGCCCTTAAATAATTTGATAATAGGTTTATCATACTAATATTATTTCGCATTGAGATTCATACAAAATTAAAGTAAATAGATATTGTAATGAATCTTACAATGATTATTGATTTGTCAAATGAAATTACTTAAATGTGTACAATATAATATATTATTAACTTCTCTTAGAGACAGTTATAGTGATTGCAAAAATAAATTTTTTATATATCTTTAGGGAAGTTTTCTGAATATCTAAGCATACCTTAGAAAAAATTGAAGTATTTGTGTCCCCACCGGTTATAGATTCTCAATAAAAATAAGTTAAAAAAATTTGGCGGTCAAAAATGTTTATTGGACTTGTAAAAATGTAAAGTGTAATTTTTTTGGGTTCTGTACCAAGATTTTTCATTACAGTACGGGAATTTCCAGCAATTTGTCTTAAAGACACGATGCCATGCACCCCCACTTGTTAATAATAAGTAATGCCACAGATGCGTTTGTATCGTCAAAATAGATCTGAGGAGTAATTTGTAGTAAAGTAAAGGCTTCGGTCGTGCAACTACAAAGATAGAGTGTATTTTTTCCCCACACATAACCTGATATCAAGAAGTAACGATAACCGTTCGCTCTTAAGAAGATAATTTTCAAATGATAAATAAAATTGACAAGAAGTATGCAATCTTTAACAAACAAAATACAACCATTGGGTTGCTTTCTACAAAAGCTACAAAGTAAAAAAAATGTTGCAATAGATCCCTGAGTATATTTTTAATCGCAATAATATATAATCAAACATAAAACAAAAAAATAAAAAAAAGGTTTGTCTTGCCTATCAACTCGTGTAAACACGATGACATTTAAATAAATGGAGAAAAAACTATGGTGAAAATTTTGCTGGCTGGAATTTTAGTTTAAAGCTATAGTTT